AATGTTAAACTTTTTTTAAAGGTCAGAATTGAGAAGATTTCCAATTTAGTGTGACGTCATTCCTTGGCTGTTTCTCTGGCAAATAAAATATATGAGATGTTTTTTCCTTTTTTAAAAAAGGAAGTGTACTTTCATCACAAATTCTTTTTTCTTTATCATCACTTAATTTCCAAGAATTCTTGGTCAAAGTAGTGTTGTGGTTTCCTGATACAAATTTTACTGAATAGAAAATGAAATGAAAAGTATAATCTATCTAAGACATTTTTATGTTTGTACGTTATTTTTATAGATACAAATATTTAAGTAAATAAACAGTGCTTATAATAAACAGTATTAACGACATTTACCTGCCTGAACGTCCGAGAAATTTTCATGTCTTCCCTTGGGGTGGGTATATCAAATAGACAGACAGGCCTTCGAGAGAGGACCTTTCATCACAGAGGAGGTATTGTTGCGGACCCGGTAGCATGCAGTGTTGGTTTATTAAAAAGTTGGCCTTGTGCCAGACATTACTTATGACTACCGAATCCACAAACAAAGTAAGAATATTAAATGAGTGATCTTTAGTGAGGAAAAGAGGTCATTTAACACATGCACAAAAATAGTAAAATATAGATAGCCAGGATTAAACGACAAAATGACTCTGGTAAAACAACAAATATAAACTTTTATTATTTTTAAACCAGTAAACTGTCTCGACAGTGGAGACCATCAGTAAAGTTACTGGATCTATGCAATTAATGAAAAGGTTGTGACAAGTAGTCACTGAATGAATGTCAGTGATCCGCGCCAAAAAAGAAAACCAAGATGGCGGGAAAACTTCTTCAGGAAGAAAGTTCTAGAAAAATGTCTTGTTGAACGAAAGGTGTAAGCATACACAACAAGGAAAAAGACTCACTGCGAGGTTTAATAATGTGTGTGTAATGCTATCTTTAAGGTACTGGTTCGTAAGGATTAGAAGTTTCAAAGGTGTATGAACAGTTTATCAATCTTCTTCAGTGAAAAAAAATTCAGAGTTGTTCGCATCAAGACGAGGAAATTAGTCTTGGATAGGTGTGAGGGCGACCGTGTTGTAGAACTCTGGTAGTGAATAGAGGAAAGTTCGAAAGCTGTTCGCATCAAGACGAGATGTTGGTCTTGAAAAAATATATTGACGACGGTGTCATAGAACTCTACATTTTCTAGCTGAAAACGGAGAAAGGTTCGACATGCTGTTTGCATCAAGACGAGGATGAGTCTTGGAAAAATATATTGACGACGGTGTCGTAGAACTCTACATTTTCTAGCTGAAAACGGAGAAAGGTTCAACATGCTGTTTGCATCGAGACATGTTGAAGTTTTGGTTATTTAAGATATTCCGGCCCGCGTGTGGGTTAGGGGCACGGAATAAATGAGTCAACCATTTAGTTTGAAAATCGGGCGGCGACAAACTTGAAAACGCTGTTCGTCTGTGACATCGAGCAACGAGCGGGAAAAATTCAAATTCTGATTTTAGATGGTATCAGGAGTAGCTAGCTAGCCAGCCTTCCTCACGTCGGCGTTTACTACTATGTCTAGCTGAATGTGACAAGAAGGGGTGCAGTCCGCGCGGGCGCACACACACACGCAAAAGGGTGGAATTCACGATTCCACAGTATCTCTTAAAGACTCTCTTCAAATGTACCCAAGAAATTCTTACGACGACCCCGGAGTCGTCAAGCTCATTTGGAAAACTGGGAGCAACTTTAAAGTGTCGGACGATCTAGAAGGAGCCATAGACTCGTTTCCAAAGCTCAGGATGGCACAAATAGACTCTCCCGAGCTAAACAAAAATTATTACAGTTATGTGCAGGGAGGGTTCCGGTTCTTCTCCATACTTCCTTATATAGGGCTTTGAAGTTAACCATCCCGACATCGACAGATTTCATCGAAAGATGGATGAATGTAGCGAGCTTGGTTCTAGTGAACGAGGCCAGTCTTGATTTTCATTTTTAAGTCCCCTTTGACACAACGAGGCGATTTCCTGATAAATCCGTCCCTTGGTTAATCTAGACTATCTTTACCTAGTTACTGTGGGTAATCGTTGACCCCTGCCTGTTTTTGCCTCTGTCTTTTGTTATGATTCACGTCGAAATTCCAAACCACCCCAGTTTGTTTTTGTCGGCCATTCTTCATCTCGATTTAGTCAGTCTTTTGATTTTCCCAACATTTATTTTTATACTTCCCTTTCCGTTATGGATCTAGATTCTTGATTTTGTCTACAGACTACACCAGCCGCTCTTATTTCTGTTGGGTGTACGGATCCTACTAACATATTTTATTTTAGTTTGAATGTTATGTTATATTTAATTGCGTTTTATGGTTCATCGCCCCCCTTCATTTCATGATCATATATTATTCAGTAACAAAAAAGAAAATAAGAGACATTTTGACATTTTTACATGATTAAAAACATTTTACTGCCCTCCTTCCTATTCGTCCTTCTGCCAAAATTGTTGTAAACATCATTCAACATAAAATCATAATTCAACATTTTTGTAATCATAAATCAACATCCCTATCAAAATTGGGTCACCTTGACGTAGTGTAATGGCTATCAAGCTTGTCTTGCTACAACGATTACGACTAAGTAGGGTACTCCATCTTTTCGGCCTTGTGCCACATCCAAACTACGCTTAGAAAATCATCAGTCCTATAAAGATTGGAAGCAAGATCCCAATCAATCAAAAGGATGGACGGGTGCAATCATTTACCTACGTGGGACCAATAAATACAAACAAGATACAGCCAAGATACAAAATACAAACAAGATACAGCCAAGATACAACATACAAACAAGATACAGCCAAGATACAAAATACAAACAAAATACAAGATGCAAACAAGATGCAGAAATATTTATCACTATTTTTGCCTTTTACACTTTTTTGTTTAATATATTTAAATTTTTTAATATTTCAAAACGTTCATTTTTATTTTTATACAGTTATGTTTCGTTTGGTTTGACTGTGTTTTACGGTATATCAACCTCATTGGGTTATTTAATGCTGTCAACTTTTTTTCTGGTAATATTTTGTTTTGTTAAAAATCTATTTCTGGTAATATTATTTTCCCTAAAAATATATAACTGGTAATATTATTTTAAAACATGTATTGCTGGTAATAATTTTTTTTCGAAAACGTATTGCTGGTAATTTTTTCAAATATATTGCTGGTAATAGTTTTTCTTTCAAAAATTTATTGCTGGTAATAGTTTTTCAAAAATATATTAATGGCATTAGTTTTTTTTCTTCAAAAATTTACTTTTGGTAATAATTTTTTACAAAGTATTTCTGGTATTAAAACCTAGTTTTACACTTTCATAATGCTTTTTACCTCAGTTTCGGGGTTAACTATTTGCCCACAGCTGGGATGTAGTTTATCGTCCTACCCAGGGCGCGGATGTAGTTTATCGTCATTCCTTATTTATGGCTTATGAAACCTATGCAGGATATTTAAATCCAGAAAATATTTTAGATAGTAAAAATTGTTTTTTAAGATAATAATTATTTAGTGATAAAAGTTTTAATAATTAATCCATATCTGGGGAGAATTTGCTCGTAAGTCAGCATAACGGCAACATCGGGAATTAAAATTCAGCTCGACGATTAACAATTCCGAGTTAATATTTCTCTCTGTCTTTTTTTACAAATCCTTTCATGGTAACTGCTCCGAGGAGCTGCTTTCGCTCGTTCCCAAACTTCATGAACTATTCAAATGTAATGTCAATCGACGTCTCCAGATACCTTGATCTATCCCCTATCCTTCTCTTCATCCTTTCCTCTATCACTCCTTTTTGCTCTCGCTCCAACTCTTTGTAATCCCTTGCATGCTAGTGGCTTCCCGCCTTGCTTGGGGCGAAACGCTTATATATATATATATATATATATATATATATATATGTGTGTGTGTGTGTGTGTGTGTGTATATATATATATATATATATATTACACAGGACTTACATCTAAGCATACAGCACCTGGTATTCCTCAGTGATCACCCATCTAGGTACTGACCAGACTCGATATTGCTTAACTATGGAGATCGTACGGAGAGCATTGTTTGAACGTGATATACCTTTAAGTACTTCTGAGTACCGAATTCTTATCTAATGCCTAATTTCATACGTTATTCATCTATGTGTCATGTCTATTCACGATGTGTTGCGATCATGGCTCTCCACAATTTCCTGTGCTTTGTAGATGTTATTAAAGTTTGTTTTTTGCTATCTCTCATAGTCTCTGTTCTGCCAACCATTTACACAAGCTTACAAGTTTTTTCATTTCCTATATGCCTTGTTTCTTTAGTCGATCACGGCTCTCCACAATTCCCTGACCTACGTAGCTACGTAGTAATTTTTATTGTTTTTCACCCCTTGCCAACCAGTTAGACAAGCTCGTTAGGTAAGTAATACGCTATCTTCATTTGCCCCCCACCCCTGTGTGTATCAAATTTTCCAAGATCTCTTTCCTCATTATTTGCCTTAAAAATCCAACCTTCTCTTCCTGATGTTAAGTATAAGTCCCCTTTTTGGTTTCATTTAATCCAAAACTTTGTCGTTGCGCAAATGTTCAGTATCCTTAACATCATTCTGTATAAACACATTTCTTTTGCTTTTCTTCATCTGGTTGGAGATTGTCCAGTATTCCTTGCCATATAGAACGACTGATGCAACACTAAAATTATTTATACTATTTACAGTCAGAGTTTATGTCATGTCACCCTACGAGTGCTCTTGGTAACCATAGAATTCAGCCAGTACTACCTGCGTCAAGGTCGGGCCATCGGCTACTAAACCGGTTCCCCGTTTAGAATTTGCTGCTGAAAAGTTTCGCAAAGAACGGATGTATCTTTTTGTAAAATCAACGGTCATCTCGCAAAAGGAAAGAGACTGGGCCCGATGGCTATATATGCAGACAGTGTGCGGTTGAAACAGAATCAATGAGTAGAAGGTTCCCTTAGACTGAAGTCGGCGACTATACAGAGCAGATAGATAGATAGATAGATAGATAGATAGATAGATATAAGCAGACTGACAAAGATACAAGCGGATTGACATAAATAGATAGATAGTGGTTATAGATACACAGTGATTATAGATAGATAGATACATACATACATACATACATATAGATAGATAGATAGATAGATAGATAGATAGATACACAGTGATTGTAGATAGATAGACAAACAGACAGATAGATAGAAACACACACACACACACACACACACATATATATATATATATATATATATATAGATAGATAGATATAAGCAGACTGACAAAGATATAAGCAGATTGACATAGATAGATAGATAGATAGATAGATAGATAGATAGATAGATGGATAAGAATATACATACATACATACATACATACATATAGATAGATAGATAGAGTGATATAAACAGATGGACACAGATATACATTTTCGTAGATAGGGAGTGAATAAACATAGATAAACATAGATAGATAGATAGATAGATAGATAGATAGATAGATAGATAGATAAGCAGACTGACAAAGATATAAGCGGATTGACATAGATAGATATAGTTAGTGATTATAGATACACAGTGATTATAAATAGATCGATAGATAGAAACATACATACAGATAGATAGATAGATAGATAGATAGATAAGAACATACATAGATAGAGAGATATAAACAGATGGACACAGAGATAGAGAAGAACATACATTTTTGTAGATAGGTAGTGAATAAACATAGATAGATAGATAGATAGATAGACAGATAGATAGAAATTGAAAAAAATGAGATTTTTCCGATGATGTTTAATCTCACCCCAATCCATTAAGAGTCGACGTGAAGATTACAACGGCCTGAAATTGTTCGCAATAATAAATCAGTATTTGTTTTAGCTGAAACAAAATTGGTTTCCCAATCGATAATATCTACAGATGCCGTCTTTACAGATATAGCAACTGATTAGTTCAGTATCGCTAAAACCTATTTCCTGTGGTACGTATATTATTTTATGTATTTATTTAGTTCTTTGGTTATCCACGAACTTGTAGTATTTTTCAGTTCGTATAAAATCTCTTCATAAGAAACTAATCCATCTGGCTGACTAACTTCTATCGTTCAAGGCCTATCGTTCAGACCAATCTGTCTGTCTGTATATCTATCTTGCCCAGTTCATCTCTCTATCTCTGTATATATATATATGTGTGTGTGTGTGTGTGTATTTTAAGACATTTTTATGTTTATACATTCTTTTTATAGATACATATATTTACGTAAATGTTCTGTTTATAATAAACAGTATTAAACAACTATCCTATACGGAACAGTCATTTATCTTGACGAGCCTTTAACCGATTCGGCCACAGAGGAGCGTTCGTTTGACAAGGTCGAATTTACTGCGTTTAAACTTCAATCTTCCATGAATCTCTCACGTACATTCATATCAGCTCATTGCGTATCAAATGTAAACGAATGACGTCACACATTATGAAATGGACAAATCCGACAACTATTTTAAGACATATTTATGTTTATACATACTTTTTATAGATACATATATTTAAGTGAATTGGTTTGTCTGTTTATTCATACTTTTAAACTTATCTTTAATTAGCCACAGGGAATTTTAATTCTCAGATTTGTGACTGTTTTCGCGTTTGCATCAGGATTATAATATAGCCCCAAAATGTCATTTATGTTTTCAATTTTGATTGGTAAAGATATTATTACAGAAACAACAGTTTATCAATGTACCCACCAACCATCTGGGCATTTTCCGGTGTCCTTTATTCAAACGCCTGTTATCAAAGTCTTTGCAGCGATAGAATGAGTATAGCATTTTCGCAAGTATCTTTGGCAATATCGATTTATTTTAAAATCATTTAACTCCAAGCAAGGGGATAAAGCCACACAGACACCGGGGGGGGATCTGATAATATTTTAAAGGGATTATACAGGAGAGAGGACAATAAAAGAACAGGATACAGGATGACGATTGACGTTGCATTTAAAATTTCAGAAGAGAGTCCCACAAGCTAGAGATGCACGAGGAAAAACTGTTATTATAGAACTAAATGTTACAATTAGCAACTTCAGCTGTAAAATGAAGAGACATCGCTGTCAATCTAATTAAAATAAATCTCTGTTGACTATCGTAACAATAGAAAGGTATACCTGGCCGGGTTTTTAGTCTGGCCAACGTTAAAGTTGGTGAGGCTGCCACGTTGGTAGGTAACCACGTGTTGTCCTGGCCTGCCAAAATGGAAATTGAACTGGCGCAGGTTGGCCTTATGTGTTTGGACTACTGTTAAATTCATAAAGTCAAGGTACCAATTAGGAATCATCATCAAAACAATTACTATGAACATATTTATAGAAAAAACGTAACAAAGCAACCTTCACTGATGATAAGTGACTAAAGCCGAAATGTCAAGTCAGTGCCTATAATATTTCAGATTTTATATTTTTTATCAATAGATTCTATATTTGTTTATTGAACTCATCAGTACCATTACCATGTTAATTAAAAATAACGGGCCACAATAGGTACGACTTGTTCACTATTGGATGCTTGACGTTACCAGCGGACAGTGTTCGAGCCCAGCTGAAGCCATAATCTGTTATATTAATTTTTTAAAGCCGGCAGGTACTTTTAGTTTGAAGACTAGTGCAATATACAGGGTTCGATGGATACATTGTCGCCATTTTTTATTTTTGACTTCGCGCCTGCGTGTTTTTTGTTTTTTATTTTGTCGGCTGCTCAGTGAAAAAGGCTCAGATGGGCACCGTCTGTGAGAAAAAGAGCACCATAACGCAATTCCCCCCGCCAGAAATTGGGAAACGGCATGCTGTACTGCTTGGCATTCGCGCCGGAAGAACATTTCAGAGTGTTTGGGTGTCAATCTGAGTACAGTGCAGAGGTTTCGGAAAGAGTTGGATGTCTAATGGTTATTACGAAGAGAGATCACTAGTGATGAAGACGTTATGCTTCCATTTATCTTCCTACGGGGACTCGGACTCAACATCGATGCCTACGACTTGAGGAGGTTGTACTGCACTGGGTTAACAGGGTGGCTGCTCGAAGACTCTATATTTCTCACCAAGACTCTGCACCATGTCACACTAGCAGGAAATCTTAGTCATGGCTGTCAGACAATTTTTGTAAACGCATCACCCCTTACATCTGGCCATCTAACTCCCCAGACTGCCATCCTCTTGGTTACTATGCCTGATACGCAGTTGAGCGAGAGAGCATCAAAATTATTTGCAAGATGAACTGAAGGTAAGGATTATGGCAGCATTCACCAACTTAAGCAAGCATACCATTTAGAAAGTTGCAGGAAATTTCGAAGTAATCTGGAGGCCGTGGTTGAAGACTATGGCGATTTTATTAAATAAATTTACTCATTATTTCAAGATATTTTTGTGTAATTTTGGTAAATATTTTTTTTATATTGAAATGTCAGTGTTATTTTCCTTTACTCGTAATTCAGGCGACAATTTATCCATCGTACCCTATATATATATATATATATATATATATATATATATATATATAAAAAGTGAACATAGAAATCAACACTTAGAGGCGACAATGTGTTTCATGCTATATGCAATCGTCAGACGTGGCCTGACGATTGCATCTAACATGAAACAGACTGTCGCCTCTAAGTGTTGACTTCTATGTTCACTTTTATATTTACACACGCTCTATCTCTGATATTGAGCACTTTATCCCATAAATATAGCACACCTTAAGACTATATTTCTTCATATATATATATATATATATATATATATATATATATATATATATATGGACTGTCCCGTCGGTTTCGACGTATGAGGATCTGACAACTTAATTGATTTAGTTATGAAATTTTGTGCGATAATCTTAAGACCTGCTAGTGATTTACAAAGGAGGCGGCATATAAGAGTAAGGATTGTGGGATTGGCTGACCTTTTAGATCTTGCTCTCGCTTCTTGAAGATGATTCAGACAAGGCGATTGAAATCTGCTGAGTCCACTAAAACACGTTGATCTCAATTCTACTCGCGCCAAGGCTAAGCGCTCGAAGGTGTTATGAGGTATATTGACAGTTGACAAGTTGCTCTTCACCATGTCTTTGTATCTTAGCCATGGGCGTCTTACATTCCTGTAGCCCTGATCAAACTGTCTGTACAAATAAATAGATTCAGACGAGCTGATAGATTTAGATTGGCATATTGTCAAGGATAAACGTATAGACATGAGATTAGACAAACATATGAAGCTATATATTTTATTAATAAATCCGGTTTTCTTAGTTAATTCTCTTCGGCGTTTCCCCATAAACCAGACAGCGCTTACCAGAACAGACGACTAAAGTCACAAGAAATATAAATGGCAAATGACGTAAATAGCTGAACAATTAAGAGGCCATAATAGATAAGCCGGCAAATTTCTTCTCTTCTCGCCCACTCTCTCTCTCTCTCTCTCTCTCAATTTTATTTTATCTTTTTTCTAGCTTTCTCTCTTTTCTTTTTCTCTCGTTCTCTCTTTTGTCTATGTCTTCTCCCTCTTTCGTTCAGTTTTTTGTATATTTTATCTCATCTTTACATTTTCTCTCTTTTTTCTCCCATCTTTTTCTTTTTTTTCTTTCTCTCTCTCTCTCTTTTCTTTTTATTAGTGACGCTTTTGTATCTCTTTTTTCTCGTACAGTCCGAGTCCTTACATTCATTTACGCGCAGATTACCTAGGGAGAGTTATGAATCCATCTCTACGACCCCAGATATGGGTTAAATAGTACTTGGAAAAATCGATTCCAATCTAAAAAATAGTTAATGCAAAATTAACTCGATAAAAAAGAAAAGTTAATTTTATAATGAAAATAATTTTTCGGCTTCAAATAACCCACAAAAAGTTGATAAACCGTAAAAAAAAGTCAATAAATTTCTTTATTTCTTCCTCTTAAATATTTTGTCTCATTTATGTATTTTCCGTCGTTTTCTTTTTTCTTTTCTGTTTTTTTTTTCGGTTAAAACTTTTCGTTAATTTTTATTTGGCCTATTATCAACCTCTATGTTTATGGATTAATGTCCTGAAAGTGTTCTTTTCATATTGTTAACGTTTTGTTGATTTATATCTATTGTTATATTTTTATATTATTCTCCTTTTGTTTTCCTTGTACTATTTATGTCTTTCTCAAATAAATACGTTTTTGTTCAACAGGCTTACTAGAGGCAAAGGGGTTTTTATGTTGTAGTTTTGTTGAAGTTATATTTTCGAATACTGTTTGATTTAAGAAATTGGCGGCATATAAATGCCGAAATCTAAATATTTTGAACATAATTTTATGCTTTCACCTACTGATAATCTCTATCTATGAAAGGCAGGATGTGTGTGCGTGTGTAACGAATGCACGGCCGCAATTTTCGACGGATTTGCACCAAAATTTACATGCACATGCTCCAAGTTAGCGGGAAGGCCCAAACTGACTTTGCATTTCCTAACTTCTATCGATAGTGGAAATAATCGATTTTTTCATGCTTCTACGGCAGTTTTCATGTAGTTTGAAGCCATTTTGTACTGGCCAGAGTGAGAGCCTATACCTGGCTGCCACGAATAGACAGGAGGATTCTATTGGCCAGCGTGAGAGCCAACAGCTGACTGACACGAATGTTAACCAGAATGGAAGCATGTAAAAAAAAAAAATCGATAGCTGCATTCGTCACAAGTGGGAAAAATTTAAATCTGCATGGAACTTTACTCCAATTGGCTCATTCGCTTGCTTAAACTTGCTTTTTTTTTAGATGAATTCTTTGTAGGTCATAAAATGTATTGTTGGTA